TTCTGAGCTATCAAGGCCACACTCAGTCAGACGGCTTTCACTGAGCAGTGGGCACTCTAAAAGGTTCGCCATCACTGCCATAAGGTGTGGATTCTTGTGAGCAAAAATTCTACTTTGTGAGCGACTGGCATCAAAGTTGTGAATGAGCCATTTGACTACTGCATAAATCAGTCTGCTCTGGAGCTGTCCTTCCTGAGCTAAGACAAAAATGTGTGAGCCGGAGGCTAAGAAATTGTGAGCTACCTCACACTAACTCAGCTTAGAGGGATTGCATATAAAAATGTACTGCAGGAGTATATAAAAATGTACTGCAGGAGTATATAACCTTGTGGTACATTTGAAACAAAGCAACTAACAACAATTAACTTAATGGCAAAGCGCAGGGCTCTACCACCCAAACACCTCCTTGTCCATTCTACTTCATAGACTCAACTGAATTCTACAGCATTACAATATCAACCACCACATAACCTCCATCCCACCTATTTAATAAACTAAGCTAAGCCGAGTCAAGCCCTTATCGGGATGGCTCAGGCTAGCCTCATCTTGTCAGACCCTGGAAGCCAAGCTGGGTTGGCTCCGATGAGTACTTGGACAGGAGACCACCAAGGGATTCTCCGGTGGCTGTGCAGAGGCAGGCAAGGACAACCACCTCTGAACGTCGCCTGCCTTGGAACCCGATGAGGTTGCTGTAAGTCCCTGAGATGTGACAGCACTTGGTACCAAGCTGATCCAGATTTAGGGCAATGCACAGAACTGCTGGTGTTGCGGCAACAGCCAAGCCAACTTGTAAAATGTATTTTGGAGTTGTCCCAGGATTTCTGGCAAGAAATTTTGCACAAGGAGAAATCTAATACGGTAGCTTTACCTTTTCATCCTAAAGTGATCTTGCTTGGTTATCTGAAAGACGTGGTCAATTTCTCCGGTTAGGAATTAATCTACAGCAAGATTGTGTATTGCCTAGGGTTCCCAAGCTCCAGGTGGGGCATGGAGATCTCTTACTACTGATCTCTAGACTACAGAGATCAGATGCCCTGGAGAAAATGGCTGCTTTGGAGGGTGAACCCTATGGCACGGTACCCTACTGAGGTCCCTCTCGTCCCCAAACCATGCCTTCTCCAAGCTCGCCCACTAAAATCTCCAGGGATTTCCCAAACCAGAACTGGCAACCCCAGTGTTGCCTTATCTTGGGGGCAAAATCAGATTGCCCCTCTTTGACAGACTGGCTTGGAAGAGTTTGGTCAACTGCTTTGATGTCTTAATCTTGCTATCTAAACTTTAAAAGATTAATTTAAAAAATGAATCCGCATCCAAGTTTGCAGAAAGTGGATTTTATTGATCAACGATTAAATGCAAGATATTCAGAGCTGTTTTTTTGGCTTATTATGAAGAATGTTACATATGGAGAAAAAAGTATAAGAATTATTTGTAGAACATAAAAATATAACATTGTTGCACTTGACTTGTATTTATCATTCTGTGTTATTGTTTTTGGTTTATGATAATTTTAAAAATTAAGATAAGCCCCTTAAATTATAGTAAATTACCTGCAATACATCCCATATCAGTTCTAGTTGATGGTTAAGGCTGATAGAGCAGAACTCCTGCTCCCTTCCCATGGGAAGGTAACGAGGCTTTAAGGCTACAAAGGTAGTGGCTGAAAGAAAAAAACCCACCACAACAAATGAGAACGAAGAGCACCTTCAAACAGGAAGAGAAATAACTGTTTCAAGGATATTAGAGGTCTCCTTGTTGTGCGACAGAAAGCCTGAGTATGGGTGCTACCCTGGGCCGCCTTCTCATTTTTCTTTGTTTGGGGGATACCAGGTGAGCTTTTAAAAGTCAATTTTCAGAACATGCCTTACCAATTCTATCTAACCATTTATCTCAGGGATTGTGTGATGAGTATCTTACATTAAAAAAAAAAACTTAATTATTCCTTTTTAAAAATCAGGAGAACGGGAGGTATGCCATATCACTCTGGTACTGACTGCATCCAGCCCTGACTGACCTGGACAACCCAGGCTAACCTGATCTCATCAGTTCTTGGAGGAAGCTAAGCAGGGTCAGCACTGGTTAGTATTTAGATGGGAGACCAACAAGGAAGTCCAGGATCATGATGCAGAAGCAGGCAATGGCAAACCTCCTCTGAAAGTCTCTTGTCTCAAAAACTGTATCTGGTCACCATCAATCGGCTGCAACATGATGGCACTTTCCACCACCACCACCATGTTCAGCCTAGTATTTTCTTCCGCTTTTAACATGGAATCCAGAAACCCTCCAACTAACTGTAGAAGAAGTCTTCTTTTCTGGTCTTTTCTCCTGATTGGCTGGGTGACTCAGGGCACTTGTTCTTGTCAGCATTCATAGCTCCTCTGAGCTATCAAGGCCACACTCAGTCAGACGGCTTTCACTGAGCAGAGCACATCTCGTTTCCTCAAGAGTTGCGCCATTAAGCCAACATTTAGGCCTTCTTCGGGGAACATAGCCAGATTTCCTCAGAATAACATAAAGGTAAAGCCAGTCGAATCCGACTCTAGGGTTGCGGTGCTCATCTCCGTTTCAAAGCCGAAGAGCCAGCGCTGCCCGAAGACCGTGGTCATGTGGCCAGCATGACTAAACACCATATTCTAATTGTTTCAAGAGAACCAGCTTAACAAAAACATAACATACCCGTAAAATACAGGTCCCTGTCCAAAGGGTTTTCTGGTTTAAATCTGATAGCAGAAAAACATGACAGGGAGAGAAAGGGAGAGAGACTCTAGCCCTGCATGCATCATGGTGAATGTATGTACACATCCTGCATCTACCTGTTCATATGGAAGAGCTGTTGTGCATTCAGATTCAAAGATAAAAATCAAGGGACACTACCTGGACAAATGTGGGGCTTAAATCACACATTAGCGATTCACGCAATGGAAAAAATCCACCGCTCATGGGAGAGCCACAACTGCAATGGCCATCAACCAGAAAAGGCAGTTATTCCATTCCTGACACAAGACCAACAAGCACAGTCCTTGTTCACATTCCTGTAGAAGGGCTGGGGAGGCACTCCTTAAAGGCCCACGGCCGGCGCCGCCCTGTGCACCGCCCGCAGGTTCCCCCGTGAAAACTTCCCCCACCTCCCATTTCCGGTGCCAGGTTTTTTTGCACACTACGCGACGCTACCTTCTGGCACCCACCCACCCACCAATGTTCAAACATAAATACATTTTATGAAGAATGAAAAACGCAAATTTTGAAATTGCTATTTTTTTTTTAATTGTGAGAACAAGTAATATAATATCTGATTTTCTCTCTCAGAAAAACACAAATCACAAAGCATTTTGAAAAATCCTGTTAACTGTGATGTTGAAATTTAAGTCTCTTTTATGTTTCCATTTCAGGCACCTCAGAATCTCATTTTGCGTGCCTTTTCTTTAGCAAATTTTGTCACCAGTTCCTTCAGGTCAAACGCTGATGCTTCAGCATGTTCAATTGAAATAGTTGTCAAGAATACAGGGCAACACAATCTGACCCTGGCAGTGTACAATCCATGACCCGGGCTGTACGTTTTGCAACATGCTTATTATTTTCCTTAGGATACCAATATTACCCACGTGGACATGCTATGTGATTTGTTGGTGGGTTTTGGGTGACTCCATGTAAAATCATGAAGATCCAAGCTTTGGATCTACGTTTTTATACCACAACAGCACCACAAACATTGCATCTGTAATTTTTGTGTTTCAGTCTGTGGCCATGGACATATCATTTGATGGTGAGTTTGGGTTGTTAAAAATCATAAATATCTATAGATCCATGTTTTTACATCACGGTACAAGCTAGGCTTCAACAGTACGTGGATAGAGAACTGCCAGAAGTACAAGCTGGGTTTCGAAGAGGTAGAGGAACTAGAGATCAAATTGCCAATATTCGCTGGATTATGGAGAAAGCAAGAGAGTACCAGAAAAATATCTACTTCTGCTTCATTGACTATGCTAAAGCCTTTGACTGTGTGGATCACAACAAACTATGGCAGGTCCTTAAAGAGATGGGAGTACCAGACCACCTCACATGTCTCTTGAGAAACCTGTATAAGGGCCAAGAAGCGACAGTTAGAACCGGATACGGAACAACTGATTGGTTCAGCATAGGAAAAGGAGTACAACAAGGATGTATATTGTCACCTTGCTTATTTAATATATATGCAGAGTACATCATGCGAAATGCTGGCCTGGATGAATCACAAGCGGGAATTAAGATTGCTGGGGAAAAGATCAACAACCTCAGATATGCAGACGATACCACTCTAATGGCAGAAAGTGAAGAGGACCTAAAGAGCCTCTTGCTCAGGGTAAAAGAGGAGAGCGCAAAAGTGGGCTTGAAGCTCAACATCAAAAAAACTAAGATCATGGCATCCGGCCCCATCACTCCTTGGCAAATAAAAGGGGAAGTCGTGGAAGTAGTGACAGACTTCACGTTCCTGGGATCCCAGATCACCGCAGACTGTGACAGCAGTCATGAAATTAAAAGACGCCTGCTCCTTGGGAGGAAAGCGATGGCGAACCTAAACAGCATGATAAAAAGTAGAGACATCACCCTGCCAACAAAAGTCCGCATGGTCAAAGCAATGGTATTCCCAGTAGTCATGTATGGCTGCGAGAGTTGGACTATAAGGAAGGCCGAGCGCAGAAGAATAGATTCTTTTGAACTATGGTGCTGGAGAAGACTCTTGAGAGTCCCTTGGACTGCAAGAAGAACAAATCAGTCAATCCTCAAAGAAATCAACCCTGACTGTTCCCTGGAAGGCCAGATAATGAAACTGAAGCTCAAATACTTTGGCCACCAAATGAGAAGGGAGCACTCCCTGGAGAAGACCCTGATGCTGGGAAAGATTGAAGGTCAAAGAAGACGGGGACGGCAAAGGATGAGATGGTTAGACAGTGTCATCGATGCAACGAACATGAAGTTGAGCAAACTTCAGAGGATGGCGGAAGACCGGAGGGCCTGGAGGGAGCTGGTCCATGGGGTCGCAAAGAGTCGGACTCGACTGTGCGACTGAACAACAACAACAACGTAAGTACAGGCTTTGGTCATAGAAGTCCGTGGATCTAAAGTAGTTCAGCTTTGGGGCTGACTCCTGCCCAACAATTTTTGCTTGGTCTGGGATGAAGAAAGCCCTGGCAGCATCTCGGCGAAGCTCGAAGACCTTCCGTTTAAATATTATTTTAAAAAAAGTATACGCTGACCTTGTCGGATATAGGCAGCGCCATCACATCATAGAGCTTATCGCGAGGTTTCTCTTTTCGCCGAGGGCTGGTCTACGATCTCCTTGTCCTACACTTCTTTCGCACTTCCGGTTCACACTGAACGGCTTTCACGCTTTTACTTCCGAAGCGAAGCTTTCACCATAAAGATGCCAGGGGTAGAGCGATGCCCAAATCCTAGGCGAATCAAAGTGGGCAGCCGTGTTGGCCTGACTTTGTTTAAATCCTAGGCGGTGGTTTCCCCCCCCTATCACCGGAAGTTGCGCGTTCTGACAATTTCCTTAGGGTCTCGCGCACGCCTAGCTGAGATGCCAGCGGTTTGCCCGGCACAGCTTTTTTTTGCCCTCGTGTGACCAATCAGGGCACCCCCCCGGGTGCTGAGCGACGTGGGACGGGCTTGCTGCGTGTGCTGCGAAGCCATGGGGACAGTGCACGCGCGGGTAAGGAGCGGGTCACTCGAGTCCTTTGATGCCAGGGTGGGCAGGGCGCGTCCCGCTCTGCTGCCCCCCCCCCCCCCCCGTGAGGGAAAGCCCGGCCTGTGAGCCGTGGCACCTGTGCGGAGTTTCCAGGAGGAGGCCAGCGGCGGAGGGGTTTGGCCGAGAGATGTCCGAGGCCCTTGTCGCTGACCTCGTCTAACTCCGCCCCCCTCCGCCTCGAGAGTATGTGGGAGTTCGTCTGTCAGCCCGTGCATGTCAGTGGGCAGAGCGAGTGCGTGCAGACGCCAGCAGCCGTAGGGATGGCTCCCCCGGCCGCCACTATAGACAAGGCCTGAGGCTGCTGGACGGTGCAGCTGGCTTTCGCGCGAGACGAAAGGCTGAGCAGGGCGGGGGAGAACTACAAGAGCCGCGCGCCGAATCGAAGCCGCGCGCCGAATCGTTGCCCAAAAGAATAGACGAAAGTGGAGCTACAAAAGTGGAAAGCTGTCCAATCTAGCTTAGTCTTGTCGAAAAAATAGATTTTTTAAAAGTCGCAGTAGAATTTATGACGTTTTTAAAAGGTGATAAAAGCCCTCGCCCCATCCCGAAGAGGAAGGTTTCCCTGTCACATCCTGATCAGGAAAAAAAGTTCTGAAATTTCTTTGTTGTTGCAGGAGTGAATATGATTAAAATAGAATAGATTCACGTGGGTAGATTCATGTTGGTCTGAAGAAATGTGCATGCACACAGAAGCTTCAACCCGGAATAAAAGTTTGTTGGTCTTAAAGGTGCCACTGGAAACAAACTTTATAAAAATAAAAGTTTGAGAAAATTTTGTTATATTACTAATCTGCTAATGTTTAGTAAGACCTGTTGAAAAGCTCAGATGTAAACAGTAATGGTTAACTAGATGATAGTCTTGAAAGTCTTAATGAATAAAAAGCAATAGGATTCTTTTGTCAGCATCAGATCAGAAGCAGAACCCTACTGGATAGGGTTGCCAACCTCCAGGTGGGACTGGAGATCTCTCGCTATTACAACTAATCTGCAGAGGACAGAGATTGGTTCACCCAGAGAAAATGGCTGCTTTGGAGGGTGGACTCTTATCACATCGTATCCTGCTGATGTCCCTCCCCTCCCCATACCCTGCCCTCCCATGCCAACCCCGGAATCTCCAGGTGTTAACTAGCCCAGAGCTGGCAACCCTGTTGCTGGATCAGACCAGTGTTTCCTGTAGTCTAGTATTCTGTATCACAGAGTGGCCAACCACTTGTCCTGGAGAGCCATCACACACCATCCTGATGCTGCCTCCTAGTGCTGATATTGAGAGGTCTACTGCCTCAGGATGTGGAGGCTTCTTTCGTCACTATGGCTAATAACCACTGAAGGATCTATCCTCCATGAATCTGATTAATCCCCCATCTATGCTCACATCATCACTATGTCCACTGGCAATGAATTCCAGGGTTTATTTAAAATATTTATATTTTATTTTTCCACTGTGGCCATGGCAGCTTTCAAGATGTAAATAAATATGCAGTTACAACAAATTTGAAACACATAAAATAATTACAATAAAACTGCAACTCCTTAAGTGAAATATTTTTTTCTCTGTCCAGAATCTAAACTTTATTGGGTGTTTTCTGTACCTGTTTTCTCTACCACATGTCTAATTTTATAGACATGTCAGCCTTAGTCATCTTTTTATAAACTGAGGAGCACCAGACTGTTTAACCTTTCCATTTAGGAAAGGTGTTTCAACTTCTTAATCATCTTAAGAACATAAGAGACGCCAATGTTGGATCAGGCCAAAGGCCCATCCAGTCCAACACTCTGTGTCACACAGTGGCCAGAAATACCAGTGCCATCAGGAGGTCCAGCAGTGGGGCCAGGACATTAGAAGCCCTCCCCCTGTTGACCCCCCCCCCAAGCACCAAGACAGAGCATCACTTGCCCCAGAGCCCCTAGCTATACCTTGTGGCTAATAGCCACTGATGGACCTCTGCTCCATATGCTTATCTAATTCCCTTTTGAAGCCGTCCATGCTTGTAGCACCCACCACTTCCTGTGGCAGTGAATTCCATGTGTTAATCACTCTTTGGGTGAAGAAGTACTTCCTTTTATCCGTTCTAACCCGACCGCTCTGCAGTTTCATGGAGTGCCCTCGAGTTCTTGTATTGTGAGAAAGGGAGAAAAGTACCTCTTTCTTTACCTGCTCTTTCCCATGCATAATCTTATAAACCTCGATCATGTCACCCCTCAGTCGTCTTTTCTCCAAGCTAAAGAGCCCTAAGCGCTTTAACCTTTCCTCATAGGGAAAGTGTTCCAACCCTTTTATCATTCGAGTTGCCCTTTTCTGCACTTTTTCCAAAGCTATAATATCCTTTTTAAGGTGTGGTGCCCAGAACTGCACACAGTATTCCAAATGAGGTCTCACCATTGATTTATATAGGGGCATTATTATATTGGCTGATCTGTTTTCAATACCCTTCCTAATAATCCCCAGCATAGCATTGGCCTTCTTTATTGCAGTCACACACTGTCTCGACATTTTCAGTGAGTTATCCACTACAACTCCAAGATCTCTCTCTTGCTCAGTCTCTGCCAGTTCAGACCCCATCAATGTGTATTTATATTTAGGATTTTTGGCTCCAATGTGCATCACCTTGCACTTGGCCACATTGAACCCCATTTGCCATGTTGACGCCCACTCGCCCATCCTTGACAGATCCCCTTGGAGTGCCTCACAATCCTCACTGGTTTTCACCACCCTGAACAACTTTGTATCATCCGCAAATTTAGCCACTTCACTGCTTACTCCCATCTCCAAATCATTAATGAACAAGTTAAAAAGCAGTGGACCAAGTACTGATCCCTGCGGTACCCCACTGCTTACCACCCTCCACTGAGAAAATTGCCCACCTACACTCACTCTCTGTTTTCTATGAACTAGCCAGTTTTTGATCCATAAAAGGACTTGTCCTTCTATCCCATGATTTTTGAGCTTACTTAGGAGCCTTTGATGAGGAACTTTATCAAAAGCTTTCTGGAAGTCAAGGTAAATAATATCTATTGGATCCCCCTTGTCCACATGTTTGTTCACCCCCTCAAAGAACACTAACAGGTTAGTGAGACAAGATCTTCCCTTACAGAAACCGTGCTGAGTCTGCCTCAATAGGTTTTGTTCATCTATGTGCCTACTAATTCTTTCCTTAATAATGGTTTCCACCAATTTACCCGGTATCGACGTCAGACTGACTGGCCTGTAATTTCCCGGATCTCCTCTGGAACCCTTTTTAAAGATGGGAGTGACATTAGCTACCTTCCAATCCTCAGGAATGGAGGCAGATTTTAAGGAAAGATTACATATCTTTGTCAGGAGATCTACAAGTTCACATTTGAGTTCTTTCAGAACTCTCGGATGTATGCCATCTGGGCCTGGTGATTTTTCAGTTTTTAAGTTGTCTATCAGTTTTAGGACCTCCTCTCTCGTCACCTCAATCTGACTCAGGTCTTTCAACACCCCTCCTGAAATCAGTGGTTCTGGAGAGGGCAAGCACTTCTCATCTTCCACAGTGAAGACGGAGGCAAAAAATGCATTTAGCTTCTCAGCCATTTCCCTATCATCCTTCAATACTGCTTTTACCCCTTGGTCGTCCAAGGGCCCCACTGCCTCCCTGGCTGGTTTCCTGTTTCTAATGTATTTGAAGAAAGTTTTATTGTTGGTTTTTACGTTTTTTGCTATATGCTCCTCATATTCCCTTTTTGCCTGCCTGACCTCAGACTTGCATTTTATTTGCCATAGCCTGTGTTCCGTTTTATCAGCCTCACTGTAACTAGCTTTCCACTGCTTAAAGGAATTCTTTTTACAGCCTCCATTACTCTGTTTGTTAACCATGCAGGCTTTTTCCTATACCTTTTTGTGCCTTTCCTAACCTGCGGAATATATATTTTTTGAGCTTCTAGGATCGTAGTTTTAAATAGATCCCAAGCTTCCCCAATTGTTTTGACCCTTTCTACTTTTCCTTTCAGTTTCCTCCCCACGTGTCCCCTCATATCAGAGAAATTACCCCTTTTAAAGTTAAAAATGGTTGTGTGAGTCTTAGTTTGCTGTGATGCACCGTCAAGGGTTAATACCTAACAGAGTCTGAGAACTTTTGGGTGACAGGCTGTTCAAATGGAATTCTGTTGAGAGTCAGTTAGGAAATGACAGTTGGGAACTGACAGTAGAAGAAGAGACAGTTTAGCACTGATTGAGGACTGGGAAGGAGGCAAGAAGAGTGAGAGGATCACAGAAGATCTCTGTTCAAGCCAAGAAGGAACAGAACTTCTACTTAAGAAAAGTAATCCCTGCCAAGTGAAAAAGGAGATCACTCTTAAAAGAGAAGTGATCCCTGGTCTATGTAGAGAGAAGAATTTTGGGAACTTCATTGTATGTTTCTGCCTTCTAAATATGAAGTGTCAGTGAAACTCAGAAACCTATGCTTGCGAGTTAAAGTAGAAACTGATAAGAAAGCCTCTCTCCTCAGAGTTTCAAAGTTCTTGTTGAAAAACAAAAACACTTACTTGTTGGCAACAAATTTGATGGATTTAGTGTGATTACAAAGTTACCTCAGTTTTTATTATTGGTTCACCTCATACATCCTACCCCTGATTCCACCTGACCTTTTCCCCTCTGAGTTAAGTAAAATATTTTTCTTATTTTTGAACTTTCAAAAGCCTCTCTTGTCCCATTATAGGAGTAGAATATTAGATGGTGATTTTGTGACTTCCCTCAAATCCCTGGGCGGGGTCAGCATTAAAATATATTATAACATGGCAGGGTGAAACAGCTATAGATCACAAATAAGAAGAAAATAGAAAGAAAAGCAAGAAAGAAGAAACATCCTGTGCATGAGGGAGGGAAGAGGGTGAGATCACCATAGCTGCTATCTTTTGTACCTATTCCAGCTCTGCAATATCTTATTTGCTTATTCATTTAAAATACTTTTATGCCTCCTTTCTACCCAACTTAGGGTTTCAAAGGCTGTGAACATGAATGATCAACAACATTGAAATGGGCTGTAAAATGCACATGTACACACACACATATATACATGTACATACACACATATATACATGTACATACACACATATATACACACATATGTGTGTGATAATAGCAGCTAAAACCACGTGAACAGGAAGGAGAATTCAGTGAGAGACTGTACCACTGAAAGATTCTCAATGGAAGATGGGGATATATGGTGACCAGTCCAGGACTGTACATAGTATTCAGAATGAGGCTATATTATAGGTCTATTAAGGGGTCTTACAGTTTGGGCCATTTTCTTTTCAATTTCTTTTGTACAAATCCCTAGAGTGGCATTTGTGTTTTTCACCACTACCACACACTGAGTCATATTTTTCACCTTAAAGGCTTAACAAAATTATATTCTGGCATGAGTTTTCGTGTACTGGAACCAACTTTGTTGGATGTGCTGAGTAATTCCTAACTGTGCAGACCTTGGTTTGGGGAAAAACAGGGTTGTTAAACTGAGGAATTATAGGATAAAAAGTAATTATGTAAAACTTAAGGCTAATCACAAAAACATAGAGCCCATTTGCTAGTTAACATTTGTAAGGGGTAGGAAGCTTCAGGTTTTGTTAAGATAGTTAACCCATACAGTAGCCAAGATAATGTAAAATCTCCTGCTAAAACTGCTGAATTACAATTTAGTAGGTTAACTTCCTTTGAAGTTCATTTGTTAAAGAATGGTAATTTCTGTGTCAGCACAGAACATCCTAAGAAACAGAAATATTTTCCCACTGGTTTCTGAATACTAATAAAGTTAGAAAGAAATTATCATAGGTTTTGGAAGGCATGCCTGTGGTCAATGACAGAGCAAAACTACCATTGATTACTTGTGTATATTGTAACAGAGTTTGAGTCCAGTGGCACCTGTGAGACCAACAAAATTTAATTCTGGGTATAAGCTTTTGTGTGCACGCACACTTCATCAGATATATGCATGCACACGAAAGCTTATACCCAGAATTAAATTTTGTTGGTCTCACAGGTGCCACTGGACTCAAACTTTGTTCTTTTGCTTTAGACCAACATGGCTACCCAAGTGAATATTATATTGTGTTAATGTGACTTCAGATGCTGTATGAGTGATCTTAAAACTATCATTTTAGTTTAAGACAAGCAGAATGGTATTTGTGTAACATTAATAAAGTGCTGTTTGATCAGTAACCAGGGAATTTACTAATATAATTTTGGAATATGTATGTATTTTACAGAGTCTAGAGCCTCTTCCGAAATGAGTGGGAGTGATTTTGGTGCTTTAGGAGAAGAATCTGAACTAATTGAAGTTGAACCAGAAGCCAAACAGGAACTTTTGGAAAATAAAGATGTGGGTAACCTTTCTTTAAATGGTGTGTGTATATCTATGTATATATGAAGTTCAGCTCCTAAATCAGTGTTTAACTATGCCTGGATTTAAAAAGTTACCGTTCTCTTATGTGAAATGTTTTCAGTATTTTTACAGAGGTATAAATATAGAAAAAATTGTAAAATAATTGTTAGAATTTAAATGTAAAACAGATTGTCTAATTTCAATCCTAGGCATTAAAATGTAGTTAAGTCATTTTTTTAAAAAACAACCCTGCTCTCCAGTACTGCATAATAACTTTTTTTGAAGGGGTTATAGTATACTACACCTGTGCTATTTATTAATTTAAGAGGGAGCATGTGGCACTTTGTTGGTATAATGAGTACCTAAACCTGAAAGGAAGTATTTTGAAGGTTAGAGAAGATGTAATTAATATAGCATATTGGTACTTTTGAGTGAAGTCAGGGATTGCCAGATTTTTAGAATTGGAGAAAGGTGTAAGCTTTAGAATCTATGTGCTCGGGGGCCAGCTCAAAGAGAAGCTGATGAGATTTTATACATTGTTAACCTGCTGAGAGGGATTCCTGTGAGATCAGAAACAACGTGCTCATTTTTATTTGTATTTTTTGCCTCGGTACAAAGCAGTGGTTTGCTTCAGAAGATTCTGGGGGCAAAGAGCTGGTTGTTGCCCAGGGATTCCTGTTTATGATCATTATGATGTCACAGTTTTATTTAACATTTGTGTGTGTAGAATAAGGAGATGTATAGACTGTAGGTGTAACGTTTTGTGCACGAGGACTGATGACAAAATCTTATTCAAAATTCTGGTTTTTCATTTTCTGATTTTGATTCATAACAATGTGTTCCATATTGCCTGCTGAAATTATTAAACAGTAGTCCAATAATTCTTAAGTTATAACAAGCATAGGGTTGCCAAATGGGCCCGGTGGGCAGGAATTCCCTGCTTTGGAGGCCCCGGGGGGGACTCCATATGGTTTCCTCCCCGACGATCTGGGCCACGCCCCCAACGTAAGCACGTAGCACGTCACTTCCTGTGATGTGCTGCCGGCGCGCGCGCACACATCCACCGCAAGCTCCCGGGGCCCGGCGAGGCTCCCCCGCTCCGAGGGGTGAGTAGACTTGGCAACCCTAAACAAGCATCAAAGCTGTAGTAGAGTCTTTAGTTATGATTAAGTATTCCAAATTGTCCAAGTTTAATATTTTTAAACATTCAATACAATAAAAAGATATACTTAATAAAAATGGATGTACGTAATAGATATGCATAAGAGATATTCATAATAGGTACAAGGTGAGCATGTCTTCATAAACCATAAAAAGCCTGTGAAATTAAGAACTCTTTGTCTCACATTTTTCTGCAAATTCCTTTCTCTGCATAACCTCTGCACACTACTCCCAGTTCCATAGATCTTTGCCTGGAAAGGGTTAGGTGTTGTTGATGAAAAGGGTTAGGTGTCGCTGAAAAAGGTTAGGTGTCGTTCCATAGATCTTTGCCTGAAAAGGGTTAGGTGTTGATGTATATATCCACTTTATCATCTAAATTACTACCAGTATCTTTTTGCCATCTTATAACTGTTATCATGTTTAAGTAATAAATTTGATAAAATAGTATACAGGTTCAAAAAAAGGTACTCTTAATGTGTAGTTAACATTTTCTCAAATTTTACATAAGTTGTAATACAAAACCTTCCCACAACATATCATGTAGATAACCTTTGACTTGCTGATGCTCAAAAACCAAAATGCTCAAGCTTCTATGAACTTTAATGTGATATTGTCTGGTTGTTTATTATTAAATCTCTACAGGCTTAATATTCTGATGATAGTTTTCATTTGCAGGTTGTGGTTCAGCATGTACACTTTGATGGGCTTGGAAGGACTAAAGATGATATTATTATGTATGAAATTTGTGATGTTTTCAAGGCTAAAAATCTCATCGATGTAAGTTAAATTAATGGAACATATTTTATTAAACATTCAAAACTTTTAGCGTTTTGCCAATTCTAAAATACAGATCTAAGCACAGAGTTACCCAAGTTCTGTGCTGATGTCAAAGGTATGTATTAAACAAATAATAGGTTTAGAGAGTAGAGTCATGTGTTTACATCCAGAATTTCAGTTGTTGCTGGCAACATAATTACTCAGTGTTGTCACTCATTCCGTATACTTGTTTGATTGGGCTGCAAAGCTGATTTAATTAAGGTGTAATTTGTGGGCTGTTCTGTTAGCGTAGCTGTTAGATGCATGTACCGGTAATTGTTACTTTTGCTGAAGTACATGGATTAATTTCATGTTAAAAAAAACAAAGAATGTACTCAGGATTTCTAACATTTCTTTTTCTGTCTTCAAGATCTGCAGAGATTTTATATCTAATTATGGGACCAGATTGGGGAATTGCAGGATTGTAGGTTTTGTAGACAATATTACATAGCACGTGTAACAACGTTAATTCTGAGACAGGGAGATGGAATTTACAGAGAGGGGCTGCAAGTGCTGTTATTCTTTTTTAAATAATTCAAGGAATAGTTATTTATTTTTGTTCGAAACGTTTATGTGCCACATTTTTACCAAGTAGGGTTCCAAGGTGGCAAACATTAAAACATTCAAAATAAAGTATATATATATATACAGTACTTCAATAAAAGCATATAAACAGGCATAACACCAAAAACCCAGGACGAGGCCAATAACCATTACTGGGAGTATTCCAAATGGAACAAAAAAATCTTTGCTCACTGGTGGATGAAGATGGACACTGATGACAATCCCTGGGGAGGAAGTTCCAAAGTTTTGGTGCCATGACTGAGAAGGCCCTTTCTTGGGTTGCCAACCATCTAGGTTCAGATAGCAAGGGCACCCAAAGCAGGGCTTCTGAAGGTGACCAGAGTGAACAGATAGCTTGATATGGGAGAAGGTGGTCCTTAAGGTATGTTTGCCCCCAACTGTATATGGCTTTAAAGGTCAATACCAGCCCCTTGAATTGGGCCTGGAAACAAATTGGGAGCCAGTGGTGATGGAACAAGACGGGAGTAGTATGGTCCCTATGCCCACCTCAGTATTTTGGCCGCAGCATTCCAGGAGCACCCCCAAGCTGTGAACATGCTCCAACCGTATCCAGAACAGAAGAGATCCCAGTTCTTGGGTCAGACCTTCCCCCTCACCAGTAGCAGCTCTATTTTGTCAGGATTAAGATTCAGTTTGTTAGCTATTCCTAAACTTCCTCCAGGTGCTTGTTCACAGTTTCCATAGCTGGAAGTGTGAGATGGAGCTAAATGTCAGCAGCATATTGGTGACAAATCACTCCAAATGTCTGGATGACCTCTCCCAGCGGGTTTACATAACTGTTGAAAAGCATGGGGGACAAGATGGAACCTTGTGGAACTCCAGAGGCCAAGGGCAGAGCTGGAGTCCCCGCAGCACCACTTTCTGAAACCTCCCTTTCAGTTATGACCGGTACCACTGCAGAGCATTGCCTCCTAGTCAATGTCTCCCAATAGGCTGTCCCAAAATGTTACCCTGACTGATGGTATTGAAAGCCATTGCGAATTCAGGAGAATTAACAGGGTCACACTCCCCCTGTCCATCCTCTGGTGTATGACATATAGCAGCGTGATCAAGACCATTTCAGTCCCACAACCAGAACTGAAACCAGATTGGAACAGATCTAAACAATCCATTCATGAATCCCTGAAGTTTGCCAGCCAGGTGTCGTTCAGTCATCTTGCCCAAGGATGGTACATTTGAGACTGGACCGTAGTTATCAAAATAATATGCAATCATCTGATCACACAGGTTAAGATCTTGCAAAAATTGTATGGGTAAAAAACCCCCCATTTGCTTAACAAAACCACAGAGTAGAGAAAATGTAGCTTTTTATTTGGTACTGGATGTCTCCAGGATAATCTTTTGTGTACTCCAGACTAAGCCTACTGATTTCAGTAACCCTGAAGTAACTGCATAGAATTGCTTGTTAACTGAACAATTCAAAGCCTGCCTTTTGCAAATAACTGTTCCTGTACATTCAGTCATACTGTTTTATTAAAACTCGAGTTTGAAGTCCTTATCTGTTTTGAAGGTCATGAGGAAATCGCATGAAGCTCGTGAAAAGCTGCTCCGTCTAGGAATTTTTAGACAGGTGGAAGTTCTAATTGATACATGTCAAGGTAATTATATCTGTCTGAGATGCCAAGGATTAGTTTCTCATGAAGGTGGATGGATTTATTTTAAACAGTTTATAATATATGGAGGCAAAAGTTTGAAAATAATTATTTGATATTCATATCCTCTTGCCTTATGAGTACCAAGCTTCTGGGGAGGGCTGTTTCTCAACGCTCAGATGTTCTTAAAATTAAAGAAGCTGTTTAAGAAATACCTTTTGTCTGTTACCTATTAATAAATTGTAACTGTAGGATTTTTAAAATGTATTGTGAATACTGTACTCTTCACTAATACCTCTCTGTATCTAGGAGATGATGCTCTTCCAAATGGTTTAGATATAACATTTGAAGTTACAGAGCTGAGAAGATTAACTGGAAGCTATAACACAATGGTTGGCAATAACGAAGGGAGCATGGTAAGACTTGTTTAATAAATTCTTGCATCTTTGTTTTTGGTGATGTGATAGAGACCAATTTACTATATAAGAAATGTTTTTGTGGCAACATTATTTAAAATATTTCTTCCTAGTCACATTTACTTGTAAGGAAATTCCGCTTAATTGAATAGTTGGATTCTACAGAGGATTTCCACTGATGAAGGCTCGGGGATTTTCACTGATTCCCCCCCCTCACTGCACATAGTGGACACTTTTGGTCTGCAGTAGGGGGCGGGGGACAAGGAATTTTACAGTCTGTGTAGAGATGTGAAAGCATGGGGGGGACACAGAAAATTTCAGGGGTGAAATTGCCATTTTTTTCTGCTAAAAACCACTTGGGGAATCAATTTAAAAATCCTATGATTTTTAAAATTTTGAATGAATGAAATGCTTTTTAAGACAAGGTGCCATTCAGAGCAAGGTGGTCCGACCGTGGTACCGCTTGATGCTAGATCCTTTAATGTTTGCAGTTAGAAAAGTGTCCTGAGAATCTTTGAAAGAAACACCTTTCCATTTGGTTTATGGCTGAACACCTTGAGGACCATTAGTAGTGCTGGCAGAAGGATGGGGAGGGAGTTGCAAAGTGCCCCTACAGGACCCAGAAGCTTATGTGGAATGCTTATAAGGGATGCTTCGTCAAGTTCAAAATGAGGGGGTACAATATCTTTTACAGATTCAACAAACTCAGAAAAGGTTGTCTGATGAAAAAGCCCAACAGTAGATTCTAGACTAGAGGAAGAAAGGTTTGTCTTGGTAAAGGCCCATGTGTTGGGACAGAAAGGAGGTGATCCTTGGGTAGGGCCCTTTTCTGTAGTTGGTCGAGTGGGGAATAATGTGTAAGAGTGGGTAAAACTAGGGCCCATCCTAAGTGCCTACAAATTAATGTGTTGAAAGAATGGAGAGAGGCTGAGACTTTATTTGCATTGGCAGAAGAACTGTTGGAGGAACAAATTACTCCCCAGTGGAATGTAGGAGTAGCTGCTTTACTGGAGGTTCCCAAGGAAAGGTTAACAATACAACAGCAAATGGAATTGTAGAGGTTATTGGAACACTATTGGAGTTTATTTTCATCATTACCATGCCATACGGATGTTATCGAACATGCTGTTGAGACAGAGATAGGAAAGATTGTCAGAGAACTGCTACGGCCCTTACCTAGAAAGACATGGGCTTCAGTGAATAAAGAGCTAGAGGCCATGTTGCAGGCCAGAATAATCGTGCCTTCGATTAGTCCGTGGAGAAGTCCGGTAGTGATTGTGCCCAAGCCAGATGGCACCATTCGCATGTGTTTGGACTTTTGGGGTGTAAATCGTGTTTAACATTTTGATGTATATCCTGTACTTGGGTTGTTAGAACAGCTGAGAAAAGCTCAATAGCTAACAATTTTTGACATGACCAAAGGTTAGCAGGGGGTCAACAGTGGGAGGGCTTCTAATGTCCTGGCCCCACTGGTGGACCTCCTGATGGCACTGGTATTTCTGGCCACTGTGTGATACAGAGTGTTGGACTGGATGGGCCTTTGGCCTGATCCAACATTGGCGACTCTTATGTTCTTATGTTCTTAAAGGTTCTTGGCAGATATCCCTCCAGGTACAATATCAGGAAAAAATACCTTTTGCGACTCCATGGGGTTGCATCACTTTGTAGCTATGCCATTTGGGCTTCCTGGGGTGGTGGCAACATTTTAAAGACTGGTAGATTGGTTGCTGAGTGCCTGTCAGGGCTGTGCTGCAGAGTATATAGATTACATTGTTTAGTTGAACGTGACCTGAACATCTATGGCAATTTGAAGGAGGTGTTTGAGATGATTGAGCGGGCAGGGTTGCATCTTAACACTCGGAAGTGTATTTTGGCCCAGCCTCAGCTACAGTATCTAGGACATATTGGGGGAGGGGGAGAGTGCAACCAGTAAAAGAGAAAGTGGAGGCTTTGCGACAGCTTCCAATCTCGCATTCATGGAAACAAGTGCAGTAGTTGCTTTGGTTAGCAGGGTATTATTGTCGATTTGTACTTTGTTTTGCTACGACCGTGGCCCCACTATCAGATCTGTTAAAGAAGGGTATAAAGAATCCTCTGCTGTTGAATATGGACTGCCAGAGAGCTTTAGAAACATTGCTCCAAGCGCTTTCATCACCCTCGATGCACCATAACCCAGATTTTGCTAAGCTGTTTTATTTGGCCTAAGAACAAGATGGAGTGGAGCATGCAATCATGTTCTTAAGTAGGTAGCTGTTTCCACATGAACAAGCATATTTGACATTGGAAAAGGAAGTGTTGACCATAAAATGGACCATGACATCCCTACGATATTATTCTCTGGTGGTCCTGGGAGTAGGGTTCTTGGGAAAAGGCTCCTCTTTCAGAACAGGGTCGGTTTCCTCAGATTGATCCAAGAGAGGGAGGGGCCAGTCTCACCAGCCCTGCTGCTTGAGCAGAATGTGTTTGACAGGCGCTGTGTAGAGTACAGTAATCCAGGGATGAGAAGAAGAGAAGGAGAAGGGAGAGACCTTCCCTCTTCATTATTTTCAAGTTGCGGTCGGTGGCAGACCGCAAAGGAAGCCAACAGCACTAGGAGATCCCAGCAGCCGTGGCTGTGTGTGTAGACTCCCTCCAGGCTCTGCCTGTGGCTGGAGGTCCCCTCCCCAACCAATGCACATCAGGGGAAGTGGTTGAGTCTGTAAGGAGACCAGGATGCTGCCGCAGACCCGGAAGTCTCCCCAGTCTTGGAGGGCCCAGCATGCAGGGGAACAGACAAGCCGGGAGCCTCTAGCTCTCAACAGAATCATGGTAAGCCCCAATGGTGCAAAAAACCTAGACTGGAGGTGGTTGGTAGGTTGAGGGGAAAGCCACAAGCGAACCCCCAAACTATTCAGGGAGGAAGAAGAGGAAATTGATTCCTGGGGCTTCCGATCTCCCCAACCCGAGACAGGTTGGAGCGGATTAAAAAGCGCCCCCCCGCTCTCTTTTTCCCCTTGGAACAGACGGGGAGCTAAAAGGCCCAGGGAAGGCCATAGAAGGGCCGGGAAAATGGCGTTGGCCATCTTGGTTCCCTGAACCCTCATGTCAGTCTTACTTTTCCTTTCACTCCCAGGCAAGTGAATAGAAAATGACTGCCAAGTCAGACCTGCCAGTTCCCTGTGCCCAGACCTGGATAGCCCATGCGAGTTGATCTGTTGAGATCTCAGAAGCTAAGTTTCAAGAAACATAAATGGAGAAAAACTCTTGTTAATCTTATCATTTCATGCCTTTAGAAACAAAACCAGTCTTTCTGTAGACTTAACAGCCCTTAAGTCATCTTGATGTGTACGTCTACTTTGATATGTCATTTTAGACATGGGAGCAGTTTTTCATATCCTCATATTACAATCATTAATATTAGGGGATTCAGAAGATTTCTGACAAGATGTCGCACATGGTTGTTCAGCAGTTAACAAGCTCATGATAAGCTGTCTGAGGAAGGTCAGCCATCATAGACTTCCAATTTTGATTGAAAAATGAGATGGGTCTGTGTAAATCACAGGATGAAATATCCTTTCTGGTTTCAGAATCACAACTATATGGGGAAAGCTAATCTTATGAATAAAAAGTTCATAAAACTCTGAAGGAAGGCCAACAAGTCCAGGAGCTTTATTATTTTTTTTACTTAGTTTTACTAAGGCAATTGCCTTAGTCAACTCTCCTTTTGTAAAAGGAACTTGTAACTCATAATGATCCTCCCTAGAGATTGCGTGGATATCTAATTTTTTCAAGATAATCCCTAATATTCTCCTCAACATTATTCTCTTGGCTATATAAATTCTGGCAATAAGACTGGAAACACTCAAAAATGTTATCCCTCAAAATGTTTCCCCTTTTACTAACAAAGATACAACCAAATTTTCCTTCTCTCTTTGTAATAATCTAGCTAGGACCTTAGATGGTTTATCGCCTAGTCCATATTATCTTTGATTAATAAAATTTGCCATTCTTTCTCATTTTCCAACTGGGA